TACGATTGTCGGTTGGTTCCTGAAGCTATATAGGCAAATATAGTTATCAGACTTATCCAAGTGGGAGACTGTTGGATAAGGTGTCTAAGTCCATAACTTATTTGGTATATACTTGACCCGACCCGGCATGGTCCATTTGGGTTGCACTTCACCCGAACTATTTATATGGATAACATTATGAGAAGAGTATATTTGCGGCCTACTAATATATTATAAGTTATAATATATTAATATGAAATTGTATTATTTAATTAGTATTGATCTTAAATTAATTATGAATTAATTTAGTGATCATAAGGTGACTAATTAAATAATGGGCTATTGTACTTATATAGTGTGGGCTAACACTCATTAGGGAATGGGCTAAGCTTAAATGGGGAGTCCATGGATGATCCATGGAGCTTTTAACCCATGGATCCTTGGAATAGGAAAAGACATGGGTTATTAGGGTTTGCATGGTTCATCACCCTAATCATCTACACTATATAAAGAGGCTTATGGTGCTTGAGAAGAGACTATGTGTGTGTGCATAAGAGTGGCCGAATTTCTAGAGTGATTGGATACTCTCTCATAAGTTTTCCAAGTTTGTGGTGATTTGTGATTTCCATTTGAGGCATTCACATTATTGGTGCTTGGCTCTCAAACTCCCAAGGAATCAACTCACTAACAAAAGGTATGTAATTCTTCTAGTATCTTTTATGTTTAAAAGTACCCCATGTATGCTAGATAGGTTATGAACCTTGGAAAATTATTTTGCATGTATTTTAGACAAACATAGATCCAAAGTTTCTAGGGTTGCATGAACACCTTAGGAGTGTTAGTTTGCTCAAAACCCAACAGATAAAACTAAGAAATTCTTATCATCTAGTTTTGACATAAAAGACATAGGGGAGGCTGAGGTAATTCTTGGTATAAGAAGTAGAGAAAAGGAAACACTGGGATTTCAATTTCTCAATCTCATTACATTGAGAAGATATTGAAAAAGTTGAACTTTGTGAATTGTTCTCCTGTTAGCACTCCAATAGATCCTAGTCTTAAGCTTCTACCTAATAAAGGATCTCCAATGTCTCAACTTGAATACTTAAGGGGCTATTGGTTGTCTAATGTATGCCATGATTAGTACAAGACCTGATATAGCATATGATGTGGGAAGACTTAGTAGATATACTAGTAATCCTAGTTCACATCATTGGCAAGTTGTGAGTAGAGTATTCAAGTACTTGAAAGGGACCATGACTTATGGTTTAACTTATAGTGGATATCCTTCAGTTTTGGAAGGTTATTCAGATGCCACTTGGATTAACAACTTAGAGGATCACTCCTCTACTAGTGGTTGGGTGTTTCTTCTTGGAGGAGGTGCCATTTCTTGGGCATCCAAGAAACAGACTTGTATTACTAACTCAACCATGAAATATGAGTTTGTTGCATTGTCTGCTGCTGGTAAAGAAGCTGAGTGGCAAAGGAATTTGATTTATGAAATTCCATTATGGCCCAAACTGATATCTACCATTTCTATCAGATGTGATAGTGCTGCAACTTTGGCTAAGGCTTATAGTCAAGTGTCAATGGGAAGTTTAGACATTTAGGTGTTAAACATAGCATGATTCGTGAGCTCATCATGACTGGTGTGATATCTGTGGAGTTTGTAAGAACTCAGTTGAATTTGGACGATCATCTAACCAAAGGGTTAGCAAGAAATCTTGTGCACAAGGCGGCTGTAGGGATGGGTTTAAAGTCCACTTAAAATCTTTTATATTGAGATACCCAATTCCCATCTAATGCAATATTAGATGCTGAATTCAATGTGGAAAGCTTGATATTTGAAGATTGGAGCACATTTTATCATCATCCCAAGGTATGTGTTCAATACTGCAAGTTAAGGAGGTTGAAATTTTATTTCTTAATAGTTCTTTGAAAAATTGCATTTGCAGGTGCAAGAACAAAAGAACTACTTATATAAGCATGAAGTTTAGCTGCTTCAAGAAGTTGGGACTTGACTTTGATATGCTTATTGAAGGATGGGACACAAGCTAGTAAAATATAGTGTCAAGTTAGAACTTATGAGAATGTAAACTGTTGTGTGTATTATCTTCATGTATTCACTATGAATAGAAAGGGTTCAATCCGTAGTGACACCCTAATATTCGAATATTTGGAATGAATAATATACTAATGTGAAATTCAATCGTCACGACATTTCATTTATGCATCAGTTTGTTGTTGTTATGTTTTGTTTTAAGTTAATCAAGATTACACTTAAATGAGAGAGGGTTTGTTGGTGATTTGTTTCACTAATTGTATTTAAGTGTAATGGATTGACTTGTTGACCAAAATCAATCTTGATGAATATTAAACAAGGAAGCTAAGGTGTGGAGTGCACACTTGTTTAAGTTTATTCAAGATTAAAAGTAGACTTTCATTTAGGGGCGAAGCCCCTGAACGAACGGGGGCCCGGGGGCAGCGCCCCCGGGAGCGGGGTCCAAGGAGCGGCAGCCCCTGGTGGGGTCCAAAGGGCAGAGCCCCTGGCTGGGGTCGAACTGTTTTATGACAGTTTTTTGACTGTTGCCAAACTGTTTTAGAATATTTGACCCGTTTTTTGACCTGGCTGGGGTCAAACTGTATTGAAAATGCATCAGAAATCCAAATTTAGAATATTTGACCCGTTTTTTTGGCTTGGTATTAATCCTTATAGAAAACCCGAATTTATGACAGTTTTTTGACTGTTGCCAAACTGTTTTATAATAGTTTTGACAATTTTCAGACAAAGGAGGTATTCAACCAATTTTGGTCAGTTTTTTGGTACTAACGAAATTCATACATCCCATTTTCTGTTCTAAATCTCTTCTGAGTCTTATCCAATCAAAGATTAGGAAGTACCACCTAAATACTTTGATTTGATAGTGAAATCACAATTCTCAGAATATCCAATTGCCTTTATTACCCTACAATTCTAACAATGAAATATATATGAAGTCACCAAGTCAGGTTTTGAACAGGTCGAAACAATTTTTCACATAAAATGTAAATCAGACACAATTGTTTGAGCCCTATAATTACAAAAGATGGAAGATCATAATATATATTTGTTTATTTTTGTTGACAAAAATATGACACTCCTAAAAATGAGTGTCATTATTTTCTTTAAAAGGTCAACCAACCAATACAAAGAATCTAATGTCTAAACTTAAAAAAACATTGAACACAACTCAGCTAAGAGCTGGTTGTATTTAGTTTACTAGCTTGGTAAACAATCCATCTTATTTTAAAACCAGCTTTAGTGGATAGTAATTTTGGTTACAGCCTTTCTTTATTTTATTCAACAATTGGTTTCCAAAAAAATAAATATAAAAGAATTCGCAAAGTTAGATCTTGAACAGGTCAAAGCAATTTTTCACAAAAAAGTTGTAAATCATAGGCAATTATTTGAGCCCTATAATCACAAAAGACGGAAGATCATAATTTGTATATTTTTATTTATGTTTCTTGACAAAATAATGGCACATATTTTAAGTCTGAGTTTCATATTGAATTTTCTTTAACATGTCAACCAACCAATAAATAGAAAAGATAGAAAGAATCTAATGCCTAAACTTAAAAAAACATGGAATACAACTCTGCTATCAGCTGGTTATATTTAGTTTATTAAGGTAGATAAGTTCTACTTTTTTAATGGATAGTGGTTTGTTTCCTCACCATATATTCTTTTATATTTTGGTTTGAAGAAAAAATTATGACAGTGAAAGATAACCATATTTTAATCAACAATGACAAATGCTAACATCAATTTCAATTCTATTACATGTTGAGTAAATTACATTTTTTGTTCCTGTGCTGATAGGGAAATTATGGATTAGGTCCCTAAAATATTTTTTTGGCATGGAGGATCCTTGTACTTTTTTTTTTTTAATTTGGATTCAGTCGTCATTATCACTCAATTTGAAGGTCCAATTATATTTACAAAAGTAGTCTGGTGAAATCCAAAGCAGTCAGGTTTAGTGGGTTTATGCTGGCGCTCCACAATCTTTTGGCACCTAAATCACATCCAATTAGTTCGAAACGTTAACCGCCAGCAATCTTCCAATGAAGCAAAAAATAACACTTTCTTGACAGAAATGGAATTGAACCCTGACCTTGAAGATGTAATTACAAAGATGGAAAATTATAATTTAACATATTCATTTATGTTTCTTGACAAAATGATGGCACTGAAAATAATTTTGACATATTTTTAATTTTTTTATAAAAAGGTAACAAAATCTGATTTTTTTAGGCCGGTTCAAGTGGATCGTGATTTCCTCAACAACATATTTCCATTCACAATTTATTTTGAGATAAAAAATAGTGATGGTTAAAGATAATAATCAATTAATCAACAAAATGTTGACATCATGTCCATTAATTATATAGTTAAAATTCATTACCATAACATATTTATAGTAATTCGACAATAAAATGATATGAAGTGTAGATTTCCTTTTTGTTTTTTCCATTTGTCTTTTTGAAAAAAGAAATATATCATTCCACCTGTGAAATCTGATTCAATTGAACTATCGTCTTAACATATTTTGTGCTTATCTACTTTTAATATTTGAAGTCAACGGTGTTCGAAATAATGCATCATTCAATTTTCACAGAAAAAAGTATGAAATTGGAATTTTTACTGTAGATATATTCTAATTTATATATTTCTTTCTACTTTATTTGAAAATAATGCCTCATTCAATTTTCACAAAAGAATTATGAAATTGGAATTCTAACAAAAAGCTGCGTTTATTTCCATTTCCCTGTTTCTAATGAAAATGTTCTCGTCCGAAAATTTCCTCCATATTTTCATAAATAATTGTTGATTATCATAATGACATCATCAATGTGAAACCAACTCGCTTCATTGAACATGTCAAGGGATAAGAAATTTCTTGAGCCTTTTCCTGAAACTGAAATTTCTGGGAAACCCACATCTTTATATATATAATTTCATTTCCCTGAGGTGCACAGACCACGTACTTTCAATCTCAAAAAAATCAACTCATCGATGGCATCTTCATCATCTTCTCCCTCTGCTCCAGCCTTTTCATCTCATTCCTGGTGTTATGATGTTTTCCTTAGTTTTAGAGGAGAAGATACTCGTCGCACTTTTGTTGATCACCTCTACACGGCTCTTGAACAACAAGGGATCAACACTTACAAGGACAGCGTAGCACTTCCTCGGGGTGAATCGATCGGCCCATCCCTTAAGAAGGCAATCAAAGAATCATATATTGTTGTCATCATATTCTCTAAAAGCTATGCAGATTCGTCTTGGTGCTTGGATGAGCTTGCACATATTATGACATGCAGGGATATAAGAGGGCAAATCGTTATGCCCATATTTTACGATGTAGATCCCTCTGAAGTCCGAAAACAAAAAAGGAGGTATAAAGAAGCATTTACCAAACATGAGCATGAGAACAAGACCAAGGTTAAATCTTGGAGAAAAGCACTTGTGGATGCAAGTAGCATTTCTGGATGGGAAACGAGGAACATTGCTAACGGGTAATTTTCTTCATTTTTGCACTTTGTATGCTTAAGAGCTTTTTATACAAATGTTTTAATAATTTTTGATGAAGTTGATGTCCTCTATAAATAGAGAGGTTTTGACTACGTCACTTGATCAGAGACGAATATAAACATTTAGAAGATTAATTATGAGATGCTTTCGGTAGATGTGGTTTGTTATGCTAGTGGGAAAGTTTAAAAGACATCCCAAGTCCTAGGATTATGTATAAGCTCAGATTAAGATATGATGTAATCTATGGAGTTCTAGTTCTAGTTCCATACTTAACACCTCACGTCAAGCTACAACAGAAATTCATCTTGTTTTAATTTTTGCTATTTGAAACTATTTGATATTTCTCAAGAAATTGTTACAAACTACTTGATATCCCTTTTGCATGTTCTATCCGATTGTGAAATATGGACGGTATTAGGTTTCTTTTTCCTTATTTTATGGACCATGAGACAAATGACCTCTTTTGTCAATGTGAGCATATGTTAATTATCCTTGTATATCCATTGCGTAGGCATGAATCACAAGGCATCAAACAAATTGTTGTCGAAATTTCGCAGAAGGTGCAACAAGTAGCTTCAAGTGCAAATGAGAACCTAGTTGGAATAGTAGCTCGCATGCAACGTTTGAAATCAGAGTTACAAATTGAGTCAGGCGGTGTGCTTATGATTGGAGTATGGGGGATTGGGGGTGCTGGTAAGACTACTCTTGCATCTTCTATTTATGATGAAATTTGTCGGCAGTTTGATGGTTGCTGCTTTATTCCAAATATTCGAGAGGAATCAAGCAGGCATGGTCTGGGAAAGTTGGAAGAAGATATACTTTCAAAAATGGGAGTAAATAGAGTTGGAGGAGGAAGATGGGTGATAAATAATAGGTTTCATCATAGAAAAGTCTTGATTGTTCTAGATGACGTCGATCACCTTGGCCAACTAAAAGCGTTAGCCGGATCACATGATTGGTTTGGTGAAGGAAGTAGAATAATTATAACAACTCGAAATAAGCATTTATTAGTTGCACACAAAGTAAATGTGATACATAGTATTAGGTTGTTAGACAATGATGAGGCTATTAAGCTCTTTCGCAAGCATGCACCTCGGGATAACAGACATGTAGAAGAATATGAAAATCTTTCTAAAGAGGTGGTCTCTTATGCTGGTGGGCTTCCGTTAGCCCTTACAGTTCTTGGTTCTTTTTCTGTGTGACACGGAAATTAATGAGTGGAAGAGTGCATTAGTGAGACTGAAAGAGATACCAGATAATGATATTGTGGAAAAGCTAAAAATCAGCTTTGATGGGCTTAAACCCGTTGAGAAAGAGTTGTTCCTAGATATTGCATGTTTTTTAAGGGGGTATAAAAAAGATAATGCAATGAGGATCTTTGATGCTTGTGGTTTTCATCCTGTTATAGGGGTGAAGGTTTTGATACAAAAGGCTCTCATAACTATTTCAGAAGATGGAAAGTTTGATATGCACGATCTGGTGCAAGAAATGGGACACCACATTGTTAGAGGGGAACACCCTAACAATCCTGAAAAACATAGTAGGGTCTGGAAGGTAGAAGATGTTGTGAAAATATGCTCTATGGATGCAACCACGTTAATCTTAAGCTAGCTTTTCATGATATATATGCATGAAGAAATACTTTTAACTCAACCTTGACACCATTTAATTTGTTCCACAGGAACTTGACATGATTGAAGCAATAAGTTTTAAATATAGTAGTGAGGGTCAGCTACAAAGGAATAAACTTCAGAGGAATTTTAGATACGGCAGTGAGAATCAGTTAAAAAGGTATAAACGTCTTCTTCATCCGATTGTTGCAAACGCGAAGAACCTTAGGTGGATTGAATGAGAAGGTGATCTTGCAAGTCCATTGCTTACTAACTTTCCACAAAGGACGCTTTTGTCATCTAGTATTGCATAACAGCTTACAAAAACAACTCTGGGAGGGTAATAAGGTAATTGTTATTTTCTATCTAATTAAGAGATGAAAACAAAGTGGATGGTGAATGTTCAGCCTGCATTATTTTTGGTGTCATTATATATATATATATATATATATATATATAATATATTATATATATATATATATATATATATATATATTATATATATATATAGGCTTAGGTTATTTTGTTTTTACTAACTATTGTGTGCCAGAATGCATAGATCTGGACCACCGGATGAATAGAATCAACAGTCATGATCTGAGGGTCTATGATATTACAATAGGATAACATGTATCATATAATCACACAAATTTCAACAAAATGGTATTTTGGTCAATTAACCTACTTTAAAAAAGGAAATTTTTGGATTTTAAGGGATCATTAATTCCCTTATTTTTAAAAAATCTGAATTTTTTAAATTAATTCTAATTAAATTTTAATATTATTTTTAATAATAACCGACTTTATTCTGTCAGAATAACAAAAGTCAACATAAACTAGTAAATAAATTTGCGGTTTTATTCTGGCAGAATATTGTTTAATTCAAGATACTTTTTATATTAAACATGCTTAAATAATTATACAACATATTATTAAGAATAACATTTTCTAAAGAATACAAATTTTATTCTTTACGAATCACTATTTACATTCATCCGTAAAGAAAAAAACTATAAACAAATATTACATTCATTCTAACAAAATTATGACTAATAATGGTTTAAGGATTACACTTATTCTTAAAGATTAAAACTAAAAATGGTTAAAAAAGAAAAAAAAACCGCAAAATCTAACAAAAACACTAATATATTCCGAAAGAATAACAATTTATAAATTCTGACAGAATACATCCTGCTAGAATACAATATTGTTCTCCATGTTTTCTTCATTTTCCATGTTAATGACAACCTCTTCGAAACCTAAATTCACAAAGAAAACATAATCAACTTTCAAATATTAAAAATTTTAGTGCATTAAATAGAATAAAACAATAAATTCTGATAGAATGTGATATACATTCAAATAGAATATAACTATAATTTCTACAAACCAACATTAACAATCATCCCTAAACTGCAATGTTCTGAAATATTCTGAAAGAATGTAATGTTTCATTATTTAGGATGTCATTCTATAAGAATCGAGACCAATAACAAGCATGGAAACCAATTCTATTCTGACAGAATTGGTTACGGTAATTCACTGCTTAAGTTGACAAGGAATTCAAGATTCTATTCTGACAAAATTAGAATTCGATATTCCATTCTAGAATGGAAACCAATTCTATTATAAACAAGAATGGAAACCAATTCTATTATAAAATTAGAATTCGATATTCCATTCTAGAATCGAGACCAATAACAAGAATGGAAACCAATTCTATTATAAACACGATTTGAGCAAATAAACAGGTTGATTCAATGATAATGAGAAGATTATAGAGATAGATTGTGTACCTTGACACAGATTTTCCAATCACTGTGTGGCCTCTTGAACTTCTTGACCCTTTTCTTGACGATCTTCTTATCAAGCTTTGGAATCGTCATTGCTTACTATAAACAAGAGATAAAGAGGGTCATTTTTTTTCTTGTAGCTTTAAAGAAGCATCAATCAGCTTCAAATTCAGATAACAGAAGTAATAATACGAGAGCTCAAAAACATTAATCAAATCTACAACCGTATTAAGATCTAAAAGAAAATATTGTCATGTACTTCAACAACTTATCAAGCTCAAAATGCTATGGAATTTTTCAATATGAACCAAATATACACACACATATCTCATTACAGTAACATATCTACAACATCGCGTCCCCGATTAAAAGATCGATAACTAAAAAAAAATTGATTGCGTACACTGGGTTTAACCAATTAAAAGTTGTTGAAATTTAGATTCAATGAATCAACAGAGAAGAAGTAATGAACGTATATCTTTTTCAGAAATGCTTCCAATTTGTTACAAGATCTACAAACATCAAGTAGAGATACAATATTTCGTTTACAGTTAGATGCAATAGGAGATAACGAATGGTAAATTAGGAAAAGTGAACCTGATGGACTTCTTCAACAAATAGCCTGGAAAGAAAGATCCCGATCCCGATGAAACGTGAACCTGACCGCCAACCTCCTCCGCCTGCAACTGTCGGCGCTTCTCGGGGTCTGCGAGTGAAATCACGGCGGCGATTGCTGCGACCGAGCCGCCTCCGATGACTGCCAGTGTTGTTCCGTCAAATGTGTCGACTCCTAGTGCGGATACAGTTAGGGTTCTTCGATTGTTTAGTTTGTAGGATTTAAGATTAGGATTGGAGAATGGTGTGGTGGTGAAAGAGACATTGTGGGAGAAAAGGGCGGAGGAGACGAAGGGGAAAGATGATCTACGAAGGGGAAAGATGATCTTCAAATCGAACCCCTTCCTCTTCAAATCGATGACAGCAGACGGAAATGATGGCAAAAAACGAAGGTGAAGAACTAGGTCAAATATATTTACTTTATTTCCATAATTGTAGGATTTCAATTAAATGATTTCCTTAATTAAAGGTATAAAAGGTCCAAAATACCATTTATTGATTTATTTAATTATTTATTATTTCTTGAATTCTCATTGGTGCATTTAGGCACACAATATTTGTTGAAAACATTTGAACTTATCTCTCTCTCTCTCTCTCTCTCTCTCTATATATATATATATATATATATATATATATATATATATATATATATAAATATATATATATATATATATATATATATAGGGTTAGGTTAATGTGAGACGACCTAATTTTGTGAGACCGTGAGACGCAATTTTAGCCACTCATTTAGTAGATAAAACAAAAACATTTTTAAAAGGCAAAATAATTGAAAATTTTCGAAATTTTTTTTTTCCAATATTATTTTCGAAATATATATTTTCCAAAAAAAATTAAAAAAAAATTAAAAAAGTTTAAAAAAAAAATACATTTTTTTTACATATTCTAGTAGAATATTAGAATATTCTACATATCTGACAAATCTAGTAGAATATTCTAACATTCTAAAAATCACATTAGAATATTTATAGTGTAATATTCTATTAGAATATTCCACGTATTTTTCAAAAAAAAAATGGCAATTTTTTTTTAAATTTTTTAGGTAAATAAAGTTCCGAAAATAATAATTAAAAAAAGAATTTTTGGATTTTTCCTTTTATTTTGCATTTTAAAATTATTTTTAGATTTGGTCTCACGGTCTCACAAAATTAGCATGGTCTCAAATGAACCTGAACCTATATATATATATATATATATATATATATATATATATATAATATATATTATATAATATATATATCTATATATATATATATCTAGGTGGCTTCAACATAGAACCATAGAACCACCTTATTACCATTGGATCATTTATGAATAAAAAGGTATGATGGTAAAATAACTATTTTATTTAAAAAATAAAACAAAAACGCATTAATGATGTTCCTAAATTATAACATTTATTTTGTAATTAATCTCAATAAAATAGGAATGAAAAATTTAAACATCAAGCATAAAAAAATTATAATCACATGAATCAACAAAAAATTCAAATATCAAACATCAAAAATTCACATTATGACTATGTTGATAGGTTAAGATTGATGCTTATTGTTCATACATGACCATTGAAAAATATATGAAAATTCATAAGTGTTCGTAATTAAACATGTACGTTATGATCATATATGAATAAATGTTCATAACTGACATGTATGAAAATTATAATAAGATATGAATAAATGTCCAAAAGTTATAATTTTCATCATTAAATATGTATGAATGTTATGATCATATATGGATAAATGTTTATAATTGGACATGTATGAAGTTTTTGATCAAATATGAATAAATATCCTGATAATGTTCATAAATGAACATATTTTAGAAAAACCCAGAAATGAAAATTCATAAATGTTCATAACTGAACATTTATAAATGTTCATAATTAAACATGTACGTTATGATCATATATAAATAAATGTTCATATGTGAGCATGTATAAATTATAATCTATATTCTAATAAAAAATAGGTTTTTTTTGCCAAGTGTCACTCATTTAGGGCATCCACAATCCATTGAACTCTATGGAGTTCAATGGATTGCCACATCACTGCCACATCAGCATTTCACTTTTTATTCAACTATACTTTTTAACATCCACACTCCATTAAACCCTACAAAGTTTAATGGATTTCTATATTTGGTTTGAAATTTAATTGAAAAAGAAAAGATTAAATCCATTGAACCACTCAATGATCATGAAACTCTTTCATTCAACTCTTATCCATGTCATCACTCACACTCCATTAAACTTCTATTCAATCCTAGTCATCATCTATTCAACTCTTATTAAACGTCCATTGTAGATGCTCTTAGATCTACTAATTAATAATATGACACTTGTTAATATTTTGTTTCTCCTAACTAATATTTTGTCAAATGTTATTATACTCCTCCAATTTACATATATAACCACTAATTACATATATAACCACTAAATTTATGGATATTAAAATCATGGTTTCCGTTTCTTTTTTTTTTGTTTGTAACTATACCTAATTACATAAAAACAATTTTTGCACCTTTATCTTCAAAATAAATTTCACATATTCATTTAAATCAAGGATTATAATTTTACATAACTAATATATATATATATATATATATATATATATATATATATCTTAATTAATAATTTATTTAAAATAATTTATTAGTAATCATTAGTTTTTCTATGAAAGTTTAATTTATTTTGTAGTCGTGGTTCCCACGAGTTATAACCTAGTAAGATATGAATAAATTTCTAAAAAGTGATAATGTTCGTCACTAAACATGTATGAATGTTATGATCATAGATGAATAAGTGTTTATAACTGAACATGTATGAAATTCTTGATCAGATATGAATAAATATCCAGAAATTGATAATGTTCATAAATGAACATATTTTAGAAAAACACAGAAATTAGTCATGTTCATAACTAAACATGTATGAATGTTTTGATAAATCGTGTTCATAAATATTCATAACTGAATATGTATGAATATAACCATATCAGATATATAAATGTTCATTAATGAACATACATACGTTCAATTATGAACATTAATAAAAAAACACCTATAAATAAACGAGCAAAAGTAAAGAACTTAACTTTACCAAATAAAATAAGATGAACATTCATCCGTATAAGATTACAAAAGCTAAAATTGCAAATGAGAAACCATTGAAACTAAATATTAAACATTTCAAATCAGTAAATTCTATGTTACGGCTTGGAAATACCTATTTTTCATCAATCTTACTAGATTAATGAAGTATAGTGTAACATTAAATTCATCATGCAACAAGTTTATCCTTCTTCTTCTTTTCATAGTACAACCAATCTTACTTTATTATTCACAACAATTGCTACAGGTTCACTCATCATGTAAGCAATAAATCTAAATCAAAGTACAATAATAAAATTTAGTAGTGATAATTAATCGTTTTTTAATTCCTTACTAAATAAATGAACACATTAGCATAAAGAAGGCATAAAATATATAGAAAAAAAATTCAAGTCTAAAACATTAGAACATTTCAGGGGACATCACTTTGTTACACATACCGAAATTTGGCACTCAATCTACCCTAATAAATAAAGATAATTTTGCCAAATGTCAATTTCTTATTGAATTTGATACATGTCATTTTCTTAGAATTTTAAAATTATTTTTTTTCCACTTGTCATTTTTGTATTTTTATTTTATTTTTATTCAAGTTCCACCTATTAAATGTCACCTCATAGTAATTAATGTGAATTAATGTATATAGTAAAACTTCCATTTGTGAATTCTTATTTCTATTAATATATTAATAAATTCCATTTATGAATTTGTATTAATTACTTTTATTAGTATAGATTAATTAAGACAAATTACATAAATGATCCTTGTGGTTTACTTTAAAAAATACTTAATTTTTACACATTCATATTCAACATGATTATTTAAAACATGATAATAATTTTTTATTAGTATAGATTGAATTACTTATTTATCATTTCATTTATATTTATTTCAAAAATTTACTTTAAAAAATACTTAATGTCTACACCTTATATTTAATTTTTTTAATCAACCCGTATAATACACGGGTCTCACACCTAGTAAAATATATAAGAAAATAAGTGACGTCTAAAGCATTAGAATAGGAAATTAAGATCTCGCATGATTAACGGGGTTAATCAGCCTTTTGGATCAGATACACGTACACTCAATAATTTAAAAATATATTAATTAGCTTACCAATCTGGAAAACAATAATAGGATATGATTTATTACTCATTGTTCTTCATTTCCAATGAGATATCAAGTAAAACTGTTCGCATCTGGTGGAGTACGGCATCAAGAAAAAAAATACCCAAATGCAATCGATAAACCCATACGTGGGGGCATTGATCGTATGGTTGTATTGGAGTTAGGCATTGATCGCCGACTCCAACGCCTCTTTTTTCTTTCGATTACAGGGAACACATCACACAAACACACATCGTCTTTCCCCTTCTTTTGGTCTCTTCCGATCATTATATTGGATGTAGGGCAGCAAACATTTAATTTATTGTTTTCTTTCCTTTTGATTTCATTTTTTAGTTCCTTAATTTTTAGTAGCTACGAGTGAAAATAGGAGAAAATCAATGAAATGGATAGTTTTTAAAGTTCTTAGAGGGTGTTTGGGTGTTCATCTAAAATCTCTTTATTAACTTATTGACTCTTGAAAAGTCAATATGTTGAAAAAAGTGTTTCGATATCTAATAAGGACTTTTAAAACTCCTTTTTGTTTAACATTTGAAAAATGAGTTTTCAAGAAGAAACAAATTGTGACTTTTTGAAAAGACTTATAACTTTTT